AAAGCTAACAGTGCACTGTTATGTCATATCCTGAGGGGGCGAGCAGAGGCGTGTGTCATCTCCTCCACCGTAGCCTTGATGAGCTCTTATGTTCTTTTGAGATTTGCTTTACTGTTTTTATGCTTGAGGTCCCAGAGACGACACGGATGTGTGTGTGTGTGTGTGTGTGTGTGTGTGTGTGTGTAAAACAACCTCCTATTGAAATTAACCTCTTGTTTTCCCTTCAGAACCTTTCAATATATTACTCTGACAAAATCAAAACCGATTAGGCTAATATTGTTGGAGCGTTTACCATCTGTTGTATCACAAAGTAGACTTGTGATGCACTTCTGTTTGGAGTTGCTTCAATTGGACACAAGCAAAATCACTGTGAATTATTATTCTAATTATTCTAAATATTTGAATGAATGAATGAATGAATGAATTAATTAATCCCATCAAATCTCTTGTTCATTTAGCTTTAATTAATTAATCAGTTAATGACAGCAGTGTTTACACCATCTTTTTGTTTGAAAATTCATTACATTTACATTCATGTATATATGTGCATATATAGTAAAATATTAATATTGTTTATATATATATATATATATATATATACAGTATATGAAGAAATGCTTCTTGAGCAGCAAATCTTCATTCTAGAATGATTTCTGATGGATCTGATGAAGACTGGAGTAATGATGATAATATATATATATATATATATATGTGACATTTTGCATGGAAGGCATTTGTGAATAGATTGCATTTAGTTTATAGTCACTTCACACAGTAACAGCAATTTGTGAAGCATTAACCTGATTCTCTAATGCTCTACGTATATTTTTTTGAGTTATTAAAATGGCCGTGGCATCTCTGAGACCCCAAACATAACAGAACAGAATGTGACCCTCGACTGTAGTGGCCTGGTCCTCGTGAGAGGAGGTGTGAATGGACCAGAGCACGGTTTGCGTGAGCGTAGGTCAGCGATTGTGAATGCAGCCTCGTTGTGTTGCAAGGAGTTAATGGAGGCTGTGGCGGCTCTCCTTTAACAGATTACAGCAGCTCTGTATCACGGGGAAAGAGAGGCAAGGTCTGCAGGCCATCCATCACAGGCCCTGTCTATATCCAGCCTTAGTCTGGCTAAGTCCGCACAAATCCACGCTGTTCAGCTCCACCTGCGGCCAACTTCATACACAGTGGAGAGACTATCCAGGTTTGCCTTGCTGCTCTTTCTTTCTTGCTGTCAGTTTTTTTTATTTTTTCTGCTTTTTGTAATTTTTCTCCTGAAGGAATAAAGCCCCAACTGTGAGGAAACATCCAGCAGTATTTTCTGTGCATATGACAGGGCTCGCTGCTCAGTGCAAAAGGACAATTATATAGGCCCGACCTTATTGTGTGGCAAATCCTCTATCAGCTTGCACGCTCAGGGGAATCTCAAATTAATCCAGTCTGAAAGAGTGAAAGCCCAATCTTGTGTTTCTCTCATGTCATTAATACCAGTACAGTATGTGCTCACTTCATTCAGATTAACTGCCTACATCCTGCTTGCTTGTTGGTTTTGCAGTATCTAAAGGTCCCCAGTCATCTCCATCACAGGCCTATTTATAGTTGCTTTTGAGTAACAATACGTGGGCTGTCTCCCTATTGAGTCACTGCACATGTAGCCATTTATTTTTTACTGGAACAATACAACAAAACATCATTTGAAACAATAGGGAGCGCATCATTTTTAAGAGATCTGTACTGTTGCACTCCACAGCTTCAACGGTTTCTCTGACCAAAACGTAACTTATGCATGACTATTTAGGCAGCAAACATTGGTAATTTACAAAAAAAAACAAAAACCATGTTGTTCCAAACCTGATTTCATATGAATTGAATTTGTACAATGTGATTGTACAATATTGTACAATATTGTACAAATGTGCGATACGATGTATGATATTTGGCAAGAAAAGGGTGAAGTTCCACCACTAACCCCACTCCTAAACATAACCATCACTGGTGCAAACATGTACAAATGAGATTGTACAATTTCATATGAATTAGCCACTAATTCACCAAAACGTAAAATAGTGACACATTGCCATGAGATTGTGTTGGAATTACTTTTTCACATTTTTTTTAAGACTCTGTCAACTCTTTTCATAAATAATGAAAGTTAATGAAAGATAATGAAAGTTAAAGTTGTCATGGAATCAAAATGCACTCCATTTATAGCATATCGCATGTGAGTTTATTGTGAACAATTTTCATTATATGAAATTATTTTTGATGATCTGGTGACATATGCCAGACTTCTACAAACATTTAGTCCACTTAAACGTTCTTAACTTAAATAAATTGACTGCAAACCTGCATTCAGATCTGCCTCAATCTAATCAAGAACCAATGAATAGAATTTGAATGAGTTTTCCCCTTTTTCCCCCATCTGTTTCACCTGGATGTACATCACAATATGGAAGAAAAGATCTGTTGCTACTTCCACTACTTCCCTTTCATCACAACTTTAAATGGGTCATATGATGTTGCTAAAAAGAACATTATTTTGTGTATTTGGTGTAATGAAATGTGTTTATGTGGTTTAAGGTTAAAAAAACACATTATTTTCCACATACTGTACATTATTGTTTCTCCTCTATGCCCGGTAGGTTGTAGGTTGAAATCGCATCATATGACCCCTTTAATGGGGATGGGTTCTGTCAAGCTTTGTAATGCCAAAAAAACAACAACTTCTAAATCCATATAGAATCTTTCTATCTATAACAAGCCAAAAGTTGTTGCTCACTGAAAATCTTGTCGTTCGGTATTGAACTCAGGATTGTCAGTGAATAATGGTTTCAGTTTTGGCTTGTTCATCACACAATTATCATGTGGTTTTGAAAGATGATAATGTACTCTGAGGAACTTTAAACATATGGAAAAGGAGTGACCAGACATTTTTTTCAAAAATTCCCATTTTGTGTTCCACAGAATAAAGACCGTTATATGGGTTTGGAGTAACAGGAGGGCCAGTAAATGATGACAGTATTTCAACAGTATCATTTTGGAGTTTGGTTCATATTTAATTTTTATTTTATTTACATTTTTATTTTTTTCTCCTTATATTTGCCAATACATATTAACCCACTGTAGTAGACAGTATTTTATAATCTAAAGAATTACACACATCACCTTTAATAACTATCAGTGATAAATATAACTTCCTCACAGGACGGAAAGCCGAATCCTCAGTACATAGTAAAATATTGTGAAAATGCTCTAGTTCAAATCGAATTATTATGTAGGGCTGTCATGAGGAAATATAGACAATGGCTTTTTCAGGGACCCCTGTTTCCACTAATTGCCTTTCTACCAGCTTTTTTTCTGTTTCTATGCATGACTGATAATTCCTTGAAGTATATCAAGCACCTGATTGGTTGTAGTTCAGTGTTAACCAATGGTGCTGCTTGCAGTTCTGTCATTATAAGTCTCTATTATGCACCTCTCTCTGGCTGATCTGAGTCTCCTAGTACCACATCATATATATTTTTTTTCATCTGATTCTCATACCAAGACATTCGAGTGTGGCCTCCACGTGCTTGGCATTCAAATAATGCATAGGAACAAGTCATTTTCACCACCGTGGGTGCAATACAGTATTTTGTTTGAAGAGATCATTACCTTTCCCCCCAGTTTCTCACTCGGCTTCCTTTCCTACTCTGTCTGTGCAACCTGAATGCACAAAACCTTTCCCATCCGAATCCATACCTAATAGGAATATGTAATACATTTCACACCTTTGATCATCTGAAATTGGGGAGATAGAGTATCTATCCAGCGCCATCAAACAGTGCAGCACTCTTATCTTAAAAAAGTCCAACAGAGCTGAAAAGAAGCTTTTCATGTCCTTTTTTTTCTCTCCATACTCGATGCTCAGATGTTCGTTGACTACTGCTTTAGTGCTGAAGGTCAAAAAGTAACATAAGGGCAGTTAAAGATTTTTGACATTACATGTAATTGCTGCACAGGTTCTGCTTGAACGTCTGCCAGCCTCATTTGCAAATAATGATCATTAGCGCCGAGTAATTTATGCGTGTTTGTGTTAGGTTTGTGAATCTGCGCTTTTTAATGAAGCAAATATTGATTCAGATATTTTATGATGCAATCATTAATTTCCATTAACTTGCAAAAACGAACAGTAATTTAAGGCTTTGGGTTATGAATTATTTTGTATATGCAGTGGCCTACACATGCTTAGATTCAACAGGCTGTATTTTGAGTACTGTATTCACTGGAGAACTTACTTCTCGGATGTTGATGTTATTTGGTTATGCAGATGTGTTGTATGTCAAGGAATCTGTTTCTATTACACATTCACCATATTGGCACTCAGGGCTTGACATTTTTGCTTTTCCAAATTTATTAGCCACTCAGCATTTTCACTGGCCACAATTTTGTTTTTTATTTTTATTTTGTAAAAAATTACGTTTTATATGACTAAAGTTACTGCATACTATAATTTATTTAAATTGATTTCTAGGTCATTTTTGCCTATTTAAAGGTCATTTTCCTTAACTGTATTAAATGCATCTTTCATATAAAATTTTTACATTGCATTAATAATTTCATTTAATATAAGAATACAATATAGGGCTGTTACCAATCCAATAATATCAGGATTAGCAAAACTGACATTTCCACTGCAGAAGAAACAGAAGCAGCTAAAGTGGCGTTTACACTGACAGTTTAATGAAGCTGAAATGTATCATGAATGAATTAACACTGCAAAATTATAATAGCATAAATAATGTTATGAACTTGGTGTTTGAAATCAGGTTTTTTTAAATATACAAAATATTGAAATGTTGGAAAAACTGCAAAGATAAGCTACTTTTAAATATGAAAGAAAATTGCCAGTAGGTGGCAGCAAGTGACTGTCTTAACAAACGAGTCTTTGAGGTATTTATTCAAATGACTCGTTCAGATGGCTGATTCATTTAAGAATGAAGCAAGTGCCGTTATGAATGGACCAAATTCAAATGAATGTTTACGCTTATAGCAACTTCTGTGTTTGTCCCGCTGTATCGATGACAGCACGCACGTTGTTAATGACCAACGTGATCTCATGATAATTCGTATGTATTTTACGTAAAATGTGGTTCTATAAAACGTACAATTACGTAAGTTTTTACAGGCACTAAAACGTACAATACTTACGTATTTTCAGCATTTAAACGTACAAAACTGACGTATTGACGACACCTAAAAATGAATCCTTATGAATATTGAAATCACGGCATTAATTTTATTAGTTTTTAGTTGTCATATGAATTACCTTGTTTTCAATTGCATTATTAAATTGTTTACTCATTTACTTATGAAATGATAACATTTCGTTTTGTTGTGTGATTTCTGCTGCCAGCTCGTTTCCAAGAATATGCCTACATAATGTTAAACAAGACTTCACTTTAAACCTTAAAATAAATAACATTTCCGCAATCGTTTAACCTTTATTTGACATGTAATGTTTACTTTGATTGTCATGGGCCACAAAAGGCGTTTTCTCCGACATGCTGTGACTGACAATAGAACTATAAAATACACCAAAAACGCAACATAATAACTAAAAATCTAAATTGCGTATTAATAAAATGATAAAAATGCATATTCGTTATAAAATGGGTAGGTTTAGGTTTGGGGGTAGGTTAAGGGGTCTAAAAATCTAAATCGCTTATTGATAAAATAAAAGAAATGCATTGATACTAATATCTTGATAATATAAAAGATACGTAAATATTTGTATGTTTTTTTAGCTAAAAATACGTAGCGATTTGTACGATTTAAACGTTGAAATACGTCTAAATTGTACGTTTTAGCATTAATAAAAACGTACAAAAGTGTACGTTTTGTGCTTGTAAATTTTACGTATTAATACCTACGTATAAACATGAGACCAGGCTGTAATGACGGCATGCGATGAATGCTCAGGTAGCATCATGTAGTCTGACATGTTTCTCCTGACACAACAAGATTTTATGAGTCAAAACTGCATAATCTGACACAGTGACTGTCGTAACTGACAAAAATTTTATGTAGTCTGAACGGGGCTTAACCCTAAACCAAACCCTAACCCTAACCATAGTAAGTAGTTGATTAATATTAGGCTACTCAGTATTTAAATGCATAATTACACTGTAACATGGACACCTTAAAATAAAGTGTAACCAATGTGCAAAATATTTATGAATTCTTTACATCATAAATATGTTATAGTTCGGTTTTATACTTTTATAGATACATTTTAGATCTCTTCTAAACATGTTTTTGCTGTGGTGAATTTTCACTGCATATTCAGAAAACTGCTGTGTCCCATGGCAAACTAAATACATATTACATGAAGTAATGGTTAAATGATTACATAAATGTTATTCATTTTAAGAATTTTAAGTGTAGTTTTGCTTAAAATTGTCTTTTGGATCAAAGTAATTAAAAGAGTCAAATGTGATTAATACATTTAATGGACTAAAATCTAATTGATCATGAAATAGAATATCAATACAGAAGCAATGATTAATTCCATGAATTAATAGGGATTTGTAAACATTTGTATGTCTGTAAATATGTTCATATATACTGTAAATAATTTACATTTTATATATCAGTATTTTATGTTTCAGTGTATATGCAAATTACATTGTAAGTATGAATACTCATGAGATCACGTTGCACATTTAGAAAGATCTGTTTGTCTAACAGTTCCTCACCATATTCTGTTTGCCTTGTGGGACAAAAGTGTCACAGTTCAGACTCTCAGGGGATGCAGGCATTTGCTCAAGGGATTGAGACACAGTTATAGCAAATGCACTAAATACCCACTGGCAGAAGTCTGTTATATTTTGTTTTGCCATTTATTTCTGTGAAATAATTTGTACTTTTGAATGGGTGGACATTTTGATTACTGAGTCATTACATACTTTGCTTTCTTTTTTCTTTTCTTTTTTTCCGTGAGGAAAAAAAAAGTAAATAATTTATTTTATTTGAATTATTTCTCACACCAGATTAATATAGTATATCATGCATTTCAGATAAACTGGATTCTAAATGTCATGTAATAACACAAAAGGCTTTGATTAGTTGCTTTATATGTCAGTCATGTGATGATCAAAATGCTACTGCAATATACAGTATCAGCGTAAATCTTGCCATTGCAAATCAAAATAATATTTTTTCATACTCCCATGACCCCATAAAGATAACTTGAATTTTAATTATTTGTGTCTGAATTTCATCTGAAATGCACATGTATTTCTGCTTGGCCTGCTTGACCCTTTTCATCAAAGAGAGATCAGAAACTTAATGTGTGTAGTGCTTTTACCAACTTATATCTTTCGTAGTGTGACAGAGTAAGGCAAGGAAAGGACAGGACATTGACTCATATCTATAATTATACACTATTATAATCATATAATATTTCTTATAATATCTGATAAAACCTGCACTGCAGTTGACAGAATAACTATATGATACTCCACTTGCCATTCAACTGCAGGTAGCAGTATAATGATACAGCACTCAAAGTACTTGACATGACATGCTGTGAAAACAGTCCTGAAGAAAATACATTATTATTGCACCCCATGATTACATTATTCCTCACATACCATAAAAGAACATTTGAATTCAAAACAAGTATAACACACTCATTGTAGAAACGTGAAATGCATCTAACTTAAGCAGTGAATAGATTGCTATTGAGCACAAGCCAACTCTGATATTGGCCAGTTTATAGATTTGAGGAACTGAGACAATGAAAAAATCATCCATTGTCGCTTGTCTTTGCTTGTGAATTTGTCAATGTCAGTCCAGCCTCATTATTTCTTAATCTGTGAAATGAAGCAAAATCAGGTTCCTAGTCTAGATGAGCCATAAGTGCAAGAAAAAGTAACTGTGTTTCAAAAAATGTACTCATGCCATTATTCCTCTGTAATTTGATTGTGTTGATTGATGTATCTAGGTATAATACATGTAAAAATAAAATCTATTTTCTTTGAAATTATTCAAGAGATTTAGCTATACTGAAGTTACATTGGTTGGTCATTTCTGTTATGCACTACATTCTCATGTCACCATTAATGTCTTTCATATCAGACGCCCCAAATTCACTATAATTTTATAAATTATTTATAAATAAAATAATTATTTTTGTGTCATGGAATATAGTTTTAGGAGTCTTTTTATGCAAGAATGTATTTGTTTAGGCTTGAAATATGTGTTGTTGTTTTTTTAAATAAAGATAACGCCTATTTGAAAATTTGCTTCATTTCGAAGATATGAGCTCTTCTTTGGTCTCATTAATCTATTATTTGATCCAGAGCAAATAGTTTTGGCTTAGGACAAAGTCTCATAACGTTATGTTTTGTATAATTTTAATCCTGTATATCAGAGTGCTGCCTTTGTAGCCTACTTTTGACTGAATTGCCTAGCAACTTGATAGTTTTGTTCATTAAATAGTATTATTCAATAAAAATATTTTATATAAATAATAGCAGCATTTAATGTATTTAGTACTGAGAAACGGTGTGTTTGTGTGTGTGTGTTTGTGATGGTGATTTTAGTTACATTGTTCTGCCATTAAATGGCGACAAGAGACTGTTTTTATGAGTGAGTCAACAGTAAAGACTTTTATATTGAAAGAGACTGAAACAGAGTTGCAAACAAGGAAGTTATTTTTACTTTAAACAACTCCTTGTAAGACACAGCCAACAAATGCACTGAGCAGCGCTGTCATCAGAAAACACCCTTAACAGATAAAAGGATAGTACAACAAAGATATCGCTTTCCTCAATGTTTTATTGTGAATATGAGATTGAACTGAAGAATGAATGCTGTATCAGATGCAGATATTCACACTCAGTACATTTCTGTCTCATAATACTCTACATAATACAGTGAGCTTTTAATATAGTAATACAATAAGCTTTCAATGAAGCAACTCAACGCTCCTTCTTTACTTATTCCAAAGTGATGTTTTCAAATTAGTAAAGGAGGCCTGTGCTCAGCTGTTAAACTGTCAACTTGAGATTTGAGTCCGTGGCAGAAGAAAGAAGAATGTAGTTCTGCATACAGAATGTTTTTTCAAGACAATCAGTGGTTGTTTCTTTCTTTCTTTACACACTTGTGCCGTCGAACTGTTGTATAAATGCAATAATTTTAAAGCAATTTAATAATGGTATTATTTTTAACAAATCTTGTTGAAATCATGAATTATAAGAGCAATATCACACTCATACTGGTGTGATATCGCTCTGTATCAGCATGGGTGTGATTACATACGGCTTCAGCCGTGCTGATATAGTGCGATATATCACACATGTACGGAAATGCTCAATTGCTTACTCTTTTTTTTTTTTCTCAGTTACTTTGTCATGTTGGATATGCTGATTTTCTCGCCATTGTGTTTAATTTAGTAAAGTTTAAGTTTATTAACTTTAAATGACTGAATTTGACAAAAGTATGTTTCTGGAAGTTGTCTATAGAAATACAACCTTGAATTACTGTAGAATGTACAATCCAAGCATCTTCATTTTTAAAAAGCTGGAGAGTTCAAAAGGTAACGCAAAACAAAAACGGGTTTACACAACATGTACATGCATCTTTAATGTTGTAATGGGTGTGTTGATCAAACTGTCTGTAAGAACATTATTTTCCCCCTGAAAACAGCCCTACAAAGTGCTCTCTGCTTTTATCATTTCAGCAACGATGGGGTCACCTAGGGTTCTGCTAAATATTTCCGTTCACCAGTAGGCAGATGCATAATACCATAATGGGATCTGCACTTGTCTTATAATGAAACTTCACTTTTCATTCCAAACTCTGTATCAGCTAACCTCTGGGGTTCTGGATCATGGCTTCCCGAGGAGCGTACAGAAGATTTGTTTCCCAGGAGAGCTTCAGACAGAGGGCAGAAACCTTCTCAGATCACCGCTCATTTCAGACAGACAGCTTCTGCATACTCAGAGACATCATACTTCAGAATGTGCCTCAA